CGAAGGTTTGGTATAAGAAAGCTGTTGAGAATCGTGTTCAGTTTAACTGCAGTGTATCCTCCTGGGTTGCAGTGGAGCTTTGGATTTTTTTGCCTTTTATAAGCAGCACGTCAGTCAACAAGAATTTAGCTTGGAGGAATGCATTACAAATGTAGAACAAATCAAATTAGCTCTCAGATGTTATCTGTTGATATCTCATTTCTTCCTCAGACTTCTAACCACTGGAACACAACATCTGGGCAGTTGGGGGAGGCAACTATTTTACTAAAAAGTACTAAATATAGGTGCTATAGAACAAATTACAACATGCTGCATTGCCACACCACCTACAGCACAGGATGAACCAGGAACAGTTACCTGCTGTGAAAAAGGTAATTCCGTCTAGCTAACGTGTCACATTTACAGCATAAAAAGGAAACTTAATCATTGAAATTATGTGCTAAGGATTAGTGACAGTCATCTGTTGCAGCAGTTATTTAAAGAAATCGTGATTTGGAGCACCATTTACTTGTTTCAAATTTTCCCTGCCACTGAAATTTGAAGGCTCCTGAAGAATTTAGTAATGCAGTCCAGGAAGAAAACTACAGGCTTTATCCTTAATATTCTACATACTTTAACATAAATTTAGAGCAGCATTCTTTCTTCTTTTTAAATGGAAATAGTTTGCTTACCTGAAAGTTCTTGTGATGTTCAGAGAACAGAGTGGGGAAGGAATTATGTGAGTTGCTTGGTCAAAGTTTTACACACCCTGATCAGCTATAAGTGACAAGCTCCAGTGACACACTCATGATGCCATGATGTGCATCAGACTGGAGGTTTTACTGCCCAGCACTTTAGTGGATTCAAGAAGAACAAATGCAAATTTCCTGTAGCAGAAGTGTCACAACTGTGAGTTCTGTTAGGCAGCAATTAGACTATGAATCACATCATAAACTGTGCTATGGATAGCAAAGGCTTTTGCAGCCTCCTTTACCCACAAAGATGGTAAATTTTCTGTGCCACAGCTGAGTGCTGTGAGAAAGGAACTGTAACTTACCTGCAGCACTAAGGTTTCCTTTAGAGGCTAAAATTGATCCACTATTGCGGAAGAGTTTAGGAAACTCAGGCTTTGATTTGTCAAACAGTTTAAAGCCCCTGGTAAAGGCTGCTTGCTCAAATCACCCAGAAACAGGCTAGAGTACATCATATGCTGCAGGTAGCGACATTGGCTTTGGGTGACACGAAACAACAGACTGAGATCCAAGAGCACCATATTTAGCCAGCCCAGGTGTGTAAACTCTAAGTCCTTATCAGAAAATTAAACAACTGGTTCTAAAAATGTAAAGTAATTTTCATTGCTAAAGCTAAAGAGAAAGTAAAAAAATATGTCTACATTTGAATATCCTGATGCCTTCCATGTGCGCCTTGAGGAAGCAAATATCCATGCTTACCATGTGCCACCCAGAGGAAAACTTTGCTAAAACCCCTCTTTGTGATCAGTCATTACCCAGCTCTTCCTGAGGTTTGTGCAGTGCTTTCTGCAACAGCCTGTCCACCCACCCAGACAGCACGCCTGCCTCGTCCCCTGCTGGTGCAGGCAATCACATCATAAACTGATCAAATGCCATTGTACAACTCAATAGGCTTTTTGGACTAAGTTTCCAAAATTTGGGAGTGGGCCTTTCTTCCATTCAAACTAATTTGGGCAACAATGAAAAAATTCACTCATGCACAGGGTTTCTGACTACATCTTTTTCCGTCAGTGGTTCTTGCTTTCCGCTCCAACCCACATCATCTATTCTCTTCCTTCCACCCATTCTTCCCCCCAAAAAGGCTGGCTTGGACACTGCTTCAATTTTCTGTAGAACTTTCTATTTTTCTTTCCCATTCTTTTTGTTTAACATATGAAAGGAGCTTCCTGTTTAGAAACATGGGAGTCCTACACCCTTGGTAATGATGTATTCAGCCCATCGATGATCTTGGCATGAATGCTTTAAAACCTTAATAAGTCTGATAGGATTTTTTTGTACATGTCACCATCAACATCAGTTCAAAAAACAATGCACAGCATTTGTCATCTTGAACTGAATCAGCTCCCTTCCCAGTCCTATGGTTCTAGTAAGGAAAATCTAGTAAGAAGGCTTACAAGTTTCCTTCTCTGAAGTATTTCAAATTATAGATTTCCAATGAAATCTATAGAACAGAAACAAAAACACCTAAAGGAGAAAGTGCTGTTGCAGAACTCCCAACATGATCAATACTGTCCTGCTTTTCCAGCCCTGAATCCCTGCAGCAGCTTGCCAATGCTCACACTGCTCAAGGCTTACTATAACTGTAATGTCCAAATCCTGGGCTTGTCCTGTGCTAGGGAATAGGAATAAAATATGCAATGTAATCCCTGTTCAACTTTAAAAAAAAAAACAAACTAAACACATCTTCCCCCCAAGCCCTACATGGCCTACAACAAAATTATATCTTGTTCAAATATGTAGGATGGATTCAAAATCTATTTATATGCGTCCAAAAAAAATGGCAACAGCATCGGTGACTTGAAATAAACTGAAATATTTATCATTTCAGTTTAATGTACAGAAACACCTAAGTGCAGGCTGTTCCCCTCTGCTGAATTTGAACTGCAGTGAAGTTCTCTGGTGAAGGTAATGGACAGCACTTGAATCAGTGGGTGCAGCAGCAGTCTTGTGAACCAACACAACAAGGGCTGTTCTTCTCCAAGCAGGGCTCAGTAGCGCAGTAGTCAACAACCTCAATTCATTCTATATGGTGCAATTCTTCAGATTATTCTCTGAGAAAAGCTGCCAACCTGAAGGCTGGGCATCTTAACCTCTGACAAAGCAAGGCACAAACACTGCTTCACTTTAACTCTTGTGGGGACTTGCTCTGTGCCCACATAAACATCAAAACATATTTTGATTTTTACTTGTGTGCAAGCAGCAGTTAATTTAAAACTGTCAGCAAGTGCCACCCTAATTAAAAACAAATGACTAATTGTACAAGCACAGGGCCTGTTGACACAGGCTACATACATCAAAGCCAACAAAGCTTGAATTTGAGGAAAAGCAGCACCATCTAGTGCCCTTCAGTAGTCAGATCCAAAAATCAATTTCACAAGCCCACACAGAAATTTCAAGATACCAAACACCCACAAAAACAGGACATCAGAAGTTTAACTCTATCAGCACTTCTGATAAAGGGAATTGCATAGTAATAGTTGTGTTAAAAAAGAACTCCTGAGAATGAGATGTTTTCAGGCAGAATAGAAATTCTTTAAAGACAAACTAAGAAATTATTCTACCATCTATAAAAAAGATGCAGTTGAAAGTCAAAACTTACCAGAAGACTACTACTGTCTATAAAAAGCTACTAGAACTAAAATGCCTCAAGCTTCAAGAAGTTCAATAATATTAAAAGTTCTAGGAGACTGAAAACATAAGACAATATGAAGCAGCATTTGAGAAACCTTGAGAAAATACATGAGGAAAATTAACTTCTATTTCAAACTCATCAGGAACAGAAATCTAGACAAATGGTTAAATATAGGATCAAAAAATAGAAAGAACAGTATGAAAGAGACCAGACTGCAAAAAACTTCAAGTGTTTTGGGGTTTAGTTTATTTGGGATTATTTTTTTTTTTGTTTGGGGGGGGTTGTTTGGGTTTTTTGGGGAGTTCATTTAGGGTGATATTCTTTTCTTGTTGTTTGTTTTGTTGGGGGGGGTTTGGTTGTTTGGGAAGGATGTTTGCTTTTTGTTGTTTTTCTTTTTTAATCCACATTCATCATGGAGAGGCTTAGACTGGCTCCCACTCCAGACAGCTCATTTCAAATCAGAGGATCAAAGATGATACTGGCCATTTCAGAGACACAAAACAGTAACAGATCTTTGTAATTCGACAGTAAATACCCAAGAAATCAATTAGACAATAACTGAGCTACCAACCACCATAATCTCTCACTTAAAAAGAAGCAGGTGACAAATGAGACAATTTTTAATGAGTTTTCCAAGGATTTGTGTAGGTGAGCTGACCTCTTCCCACTGTGCCGATACCCTGTGATAGAAAAATGTTGTACATACAGATAAATGTGTTATACTGGAAAATATGGCTCACCCATTATCATTCTCAGTCCACAAGTGTTATTAACAGATAGGAATTCAAAAATTTTTCATGGTAGAAATTCCTGATTTGCCAAAATCCAAGTACAAAAAGGCATGGAGAAAAATAAATGATTGGCAGACCTTGCATTCCTCACCACTGTCTCAAGCTATGGACTGTTACGAAAATGTTTAAGTGTAGGAAAAAGTGCCAAAGCAAGCTGCTTTTGCTAACACTACAGAGAACCTAGATAATTGTCAAAAGTCAAGCTTTATAGGAAGTGCAGACCTACATCTCTCATATGACTCTAAAATATAATTATAGCAGAAGTGTCTTTTTTCACATAAGGAAAGTAAAATGCAAACAAGGTGGGCCTGAGAAAGTATGTATTAAAAGAGAGCTTTGTTCAGGTTCTAGTGCACCTTCACTACAGATAATTTATAAGTATCTAAAGGCATCCAGCAGAATTTAATGTATTCAAGAACTGAAACCTGCTACAAACAGCAGGAAATGAATGCAGCAGGCAATTCAACAGCATGTGAGCAACAATCTCAGCCTGTACTTACAGCCTTGCAAACCCTGTGTTAACAAAGCGAGTGAAACAATGAAAATACCTGAAAATATTGCACTGAAGCCCATCTTCTTTATCTTAGGTGGAAGATTCATATAAACATCATTTCCCTACAATGAGGATACGCATCACAAATTTGAACACAGAGCCATAAGTTACAGCACCATTGATTAACGTAGTGTTGTCCCCAATAATCTGCAACACCTGCATGTTAGTAAGGACAGAAGTTAAAATAACACACTAAAGATCTTGCTTTCTCTGACAGCAAGGCTGATACTATAACTTCATAAAGCACTAGCTCTATGGAAGAGCCCTCAACATAAAAAACATCACAAGTCAAATCTCAAAGACAAACCAAAGTTTATTTAAAACAAAAATAAGACAGTGCTACTGCCAAGATAGAAAAGTTAAGGATTATTTTACTGAATGTGACAAGGCAGCCAATTTACAGCAGTTTACATTAATTCAGAGATCAGGTTGGGTTTTACACTGCTTCGACTGACTATATGTACTTTCTGCAGGACAAACTGGTTCCCCTTCCCTCCCCTTTTCAAAAGAACTGACAAAAATATCCTATAAAAAACATATACAGAATTTTGAGACATGATTGAAACATGAACCACTGTCCAAAAGTCTGGAACTTTCCAAGAAGGTTAAGTCCTTTGTTGCTTCAACCAACCCTCAAGGGGGGAGCTACAAGCACAACGCCATCCCCTCTGACAAAGAGCATTGGAATATTCCTTTTGGTAGACTGTGAAGAAGGAAAGAAAAGTTCACATTTACAGAACATTAATTTCAATCATAAAAACACACTTGAAACAACTCCAACAAACAATATTCTGGCATGCTGAAGAGATCATTACAACTAACACCAAATCTCTAGAAATCCTGTGTACTTTCATAATGATTTGTCCAAATCCTGTTAGCTTGATTCAAAAAACAGTCAGCAATAAAGCAATAAACTACTTTAACAATATAACACAGTGTAGTTCTAGATAAAAAAAATCTGTGATGATAAATTAACTCCCTTTTTAGTCCTTACTTTATAAATCTCTTCATAGGTTTCTTCATCAATCTCTATTGTAGTCACAGTTTCTTCCACATCACCCAAAATCATATTTAAGTGCTGGTCATATGCCTGTAGGAATCAAGTTTAGTTTATTATGTTTTCCAAAATTCAAACGTGAGTTTATTAAAATGAGAATTTTTAGCAAGACTTTCAGACATAAATAGTTTGGTCTAATTTTGACCAAAATGAAGTACTATCAGTTACAGTTACATCTCAAGACAAACATAAATAAATGAGAACTCTGCAGTAGGAAAAAGAAGGCATGACATTTACATCAAACACTTGCAGGAAATAGGTCTGAAGCATTTCGTAAGAGCACTTGTGAGACCTCAGAGACAGATACACTTTGTTAACATTAACCCAGCTACACATACTGCTGCCAGTCCAGCCTCCCAGAATCGATTGCCTGGGGGCAACTTAAAGGATATGAAAGCTGCTTCTCATACACTGCTACAAAACCTTACAAAAGCATGTTGCAAACTACACGTGTCCCTCATGGATCTCTCATTATCTCTGGGTTTCCAAAGGAGTTGAGGCCCAGTTAACTCACGGGGCAACTGGCTCACTTCCCCAGCAGAGCACTCAGGGAGGCTGGCTGACTTAATAGAAAGCAAAAATCTGAGAATCCAGCTGAGTACATATCCCATCACACCTCCCAGGGTGTGCCTTAAAGGATTTTTGTTTGATAATAATGACCTCAGACTAGAAGCAGCCTTGGGGTATATCATAGGAAGAGGCCTGCAGTATTATTGCGTATTTCACAGACAGAGAAATGGAAGCCAAAAGCAGTGAAATGACTTGCCTGGTATCATTCAGGAGACAAGAAAAACGAAATACATCTCTTGTCTTTTTAGGGAAGCAGTTAATAGCTGACAAAATACTGAGGAAATGAGATTTTTTCCACCAAGCACATTATCGTTCTGGTAACTAAGACAATTCTTAACCTAGTTTCTCCAACCACTTCTGCACTTTCAACCATGAAATGCAATTACTCACGTTTTAAAATTAGTTTTTTCAACAACCAGTGGAATATTACAGGTAAACTGTTTAACACACTGTTGCACATAAAGAAAGACTGCCCAGTGCTTACCTGAATGAGCATGGCAATGCTCTGAAAGTTTTACTTACATGTAATCTGCCTCTAAGCTCTCTGTCATTCCTCATTTTGACATAGATTCGCTCATCTAGACTGAGTCTGATGAGATCAAGTGGCTCCTCTACAGTATTTGTTGTTTGTTGCTAAAAAAATCCAAAATAAATACACTATTCGTACAGAAGAAGTCTTTGCACTTTTCCATTCCTTAATGTTTGCAAAGCACAGGAAACAAAGGAGAAAAAATCCAGATGCAAATACTTCAAATCATTCTTTCACATCCTGGTGAACCCAAGCACTGCTCATTTACCACTCCACTGATACTCACCAGCCCTAAGCAACGTGAGTCAAAAAATTTGAGTTTAGTCCGCAGCAAATCATTCTTCACACAGGGGGACTGGAACTGGTTGATCTTTAGGGTCCGGTCCTTTTCAACACAAACCATCCTCTAACTGTGCGAGCTGTTTTCCTTACGGGCGGCCATGGCTCACAGCGCAGCAGAAAGCGCACACTGCGGGAGCCAGCAGCACACCTGTGCCGCGGCAGGGTGAGGGCCGAGCCCAGCTGGCACCGGGGCCAGCACCGGGCGCTAGCGGGCACCCACTGCCCCGCACCCTCACCGCTCCCGAGCCCCTGCAGCAGCCAGGCCGGGCTCCGAGGCCGGCGTGAAACCTCAACGCACACTGGCCTAAGGCTCATTTCTATGAGAAAAGCACACTTCGACGATAGCAACTAAAAAAGCGTAAAGACCTCAGTGCACATCTCAAATCCTCCGTATCTCATATATTTCCGTTCTAGCTACCCCTTTCCTTCAGAGCCGAGAGCATTGCCCTCAGCAGCCTTCCCCGCCTTTCCCTCCTCCGGCAGTGCCCGGTCAGAGGGCCCGCAGCGCGCCCTGCCCGCGTTCCGACAGCGCCACAAACGCCGAGGCCGAGCGGGGATTTCACCTCGCACGGAAAGCGCTGCCGGCCCAGCCGCACGGCCCAGAGCCGCCTCCCCGGGCAGGCGCTGACGGAGCCCACAGCCGCTCACCTGGTCCACCTCATCCGCCATCTTTCAAACCGCCTCCCGCGCCCGCCCGCGAGACTTTATAGCCCCGCCCCTTCCCCGCCGCGGGGCCGGCCCGGGACCTGCCCTCGACCTGCCCTCCCCGGCAGCGCCATGGCCCGAAAGCGCCGAGCATCGCCCCGGCCCGCGGCCGCCAAAAAGAGGCGCTCTGGGGGGCTGCGAAAGCTGGAGGAGGAAGAGGAGGAGGAACAGGGTGAGTGCGGCAGGGAGGCGGTAGCGGGCCGGAGCTGCGCCACCGCCGCGGCTCGGGCCGCTCCAGGCCGCGGGGTCGGAGGGCAGCGGTGCCAGCGCGCCCTCGGGAAGGGCGGTCAGGCCGGGCTGGAGCGGCCTGTCTGTCGGCTGCTGTCGGCTGTGTTGTCAGCAGAGATATCGGCGGTGGGATCCGTGCCCCAGATCCCGGGCCTTAAACCCGTCCGTGACACGGGCCCCAAGGCTGGGCGAGCCCCTGGAGGGCTGTTCGTTGTTTCACCTCGGCCGCGCTACAGAGCAGCGTCTCGTGGTAATAAGTTGTTGTGAGTGGCAAACACGACGCTTGGTTTTCCACCGATTCCATCGGTAGGACTATAGGAATCTTTAGGTACTTCTTGTGAGTTACGTAAGTATTCTCCTCAACAAGTCTCACTGTTCGAATCCTGCCTGTTTATAAACAATGACATGCTCAGCACGGTGCGTGCTCACACCACACTCACACTACTTTCTGTAGCTGCCGCTCATGAAGTCCATGGAGATGTTGTTTCAGGTTGCCATGGAGATGAAACTCTATCCTCTAATATTAATCTTAATTTCTTTTGTCACATGCAGATGATTTGGAAGAGAAAAAGCCCTGTATAAAAAAGAACTCAAAAACTCCAGCTAGGAAAAAGGAAGATTGTGATACTGAAGTTTCCAACTCAGCAAAAACTTCCAAACCTTCAAAACGAGAAGAGGCAAAATCACAAATAAAAGAAAGTAAAAAGAATGCTAGAAATAAAGAGAATTGTATCAAAGAGGAAACATGCAGGTGAATTTATCATTCAAGTCTATAGGACCTCTTTCTTCATCTTAATTTCTGTGGTTTGATCGTCAAATACTTAGTCTGTTGTTACTGATGCAGAGGTCATGCTTGATTTATTTCCCTATTTTTAGTCTTTGATAAACAAGCACCTACGTTTCCTGATGCTAACACTGTTTTGATGATTTTAACAGTGACTCACTGAAGCATCCTCAGAAGAGGATGAAGTTAAAGACAGAATCTCCTGTTAAAGAAGAGATGGATGAAGACAGTGCTGTTGATGATGATGATGATGAAAGTGAAGATGAATGGGAGGATGTGGAAGGTAGAAATTTCATATTTTTTCATATTAAGCACTTTTTAAGAGCTTGTATATCACAATGATTCCTCAAGAGCAGGAGACCAGCATCCCACAGTTATTTGAAATAACTTAGCACACACAGTGTTATGGAAGATCCAGGAGCTGGTAGTTACTGGATGTGTTCTGTTTAAAGGTTGTTTTAACACTTAAGAAGGAAAATGTAGATTCTTATCCCATCATACGTCCTCCCTGGGAATCTATTCCATGTTTACTTATAATTTGGAATTCTGTTTTTACAGAACTTCAGGAACCTGCTACAGGTAAGTTAGAAGAAGCTGCTGTTCTTCCATCAGTGGGTCTGCCAAGCAATCCTGTCGAGATAGAGATTGAAACCCCAGAGCAAGTGAAGAAAAGAGAGAGGAGGTAAGAACAAGGAGGTGGTAGAGGGCTGCTGAAGGCTGAACTTAAAAATATCCAAAGTCTTGACTGTCACTGACTTGTTGAGTTCAGGGTGAAAACCTCCACTTTTTCATTGAGTTGGTTGATGCAGGGTTGTGGGATGAAGAACAGTTATATATACTGACAATTCTACCAAAAATCCTCAGTGTAAGCTAGCAGGAATGGAGGAGGCTTTTCAGCTTCCTTGAAAATCAAGTGTGTAAGTTGACTGTATTTTACTGTCTCCATTTCCAGTGAAGGGACAGCAGGAGATCTCTTGAAGGAGAGCTGTGGTTGAATGGTGTTGTGTTACTGCAAAATCTTAACGGCCTGTTCATCTAGCCAGTCACTAAACCTTTCCTTAAGTGTGCACAGTAGGATGAATTCTCTTTGTGAACTGACCCAGTTCAGGAATATAGAAAGGCGGGTCCACAGAAATGCCACAACATCTATTTCTTTTGTAATCTTCTGCAGAGAAAAAAGAAAAGCTGAGTTTGAGATGTACCTTCGGAGAATGATGAAACGTTTCAGCAAGGAGGTTCGTGAGGACACACATAAGGTATTTGTCACAGAGAGCCATGGCAGAGAAGAAATTGAGCATAAAGGTGTCTGAACTGATTTACAGTCAAAAGAGGCTAATTTTTATCAAATATCATGGGGCCACGGCTAGAAGTGAAAAGATAGAGGCTGTAGACCTGACAGATACTTGTAAAGGTTCTTCCTCAACTGTGAATTGGAAACAGCAGTGCCTTAGTAAAATTGTAACTCAAAGCATATGTGAGTAAGATGTATATTTCTCTGTGGAGGGATGTTTTCTAATTCTGTCAGGATTAAACTGCCAGTTTTGTAGAACAGGAAACACTTGGAAAGACTTCAGTGCTTTACTGTCTTCTGAAGACAGCACTGTGAATGATTGGGAGGCTTCATTGTCACCTCTCTCTGTTAAAAGGGATGGTGAAGTATTTCTTGTCTTTACCATGGACAGTAGCTCCAATGAGGAAAATCTCTTGTGAACTCACTTTTAAACTTTTCTCTTTCAGGTTCACTTGCTGTGTTTATTAGCAAATGGCTTCTATAGGAATAGGATCTGCAGCCAACCAGATCTCCTTGCCGTCGGTCTGTCCATTGTCCCCACCCGCTTCACCCAAGTGCCCACAGGCCAAGTGGGCCTTGTCTACCTTTCCAACTTGGTGAAATGGTAAAACTCTCTTCTGATCGTGCTGTCACATAGAATGTAGAGCTAGGGTTCAGGGAGAGGGCTGACTGTAATTAGCAATTTTAAATTTTATGTACAAGGGTGAGAAGGGCTGTCCTTTTTAGAGAAGGAGAGGGTGAACTCAGAAGTTTAAGAATACAGTCACAAACACTGGGTAATAAGCAGGTGTTTTGTATTTCAGGTTTGTTGGAACCTTCACTGTCAATGATGAGCTTTCCACTGAAAAGGGAGAGCCCCTTCAGTCAACACTAGAGAGGAGGTTTGCCATCTATGCTGCACAAGATGATGAGGAGCTTGTTCATGTAAGAGACTGGGAAGTGCAGGGTTGGTTGGTGAATTTGTATGTTGTGTGTCAGGTCATAGACAAAGTGGCGGGAGGGGTGGATTTTAAGAAAGCAGGCTGGTGATTCTGTAGCTACTTATTTTCTTGTATTTTTATCTCAAGACCTCCTGTGATTAAATCACTCAATTTAAACTCTTTTGCAGATATTCTTAATTATTCTGCGAGCATTACAGCTGCTGTGTCGCCTCGTACTGTCTTTTCAGCCTATTCCTCTCAAGGAGACAAGACCAAAGGTAGTTTTTGTTGTTTGTGTGGAATAAGGAATAGGTCACTGATTTAGTAGGATTAAAAAAACTTTCTGGCTATTACAGCTTGCACTGAATCACTTACTGCATTGAACCAGGGTCTTGTCTATATTGCAGAAAATGCACACCCTTAATTTTTAATTTTCTTCTTTTAAAAAAGCCACTAATTTCTGTGTTTCAGCAAAGATTTCTTAACATTTCAGTGGGTTTACATTTCCTTAAAACTTCGATCGCAACTTGTGCTGCATGAGTACACCTCTCTTCAGCCAGTTGCCTGAAGCTTTCAAATTAATTGACTATGCCTGCCAACCTTTGGTCTGCATAAACCTTGGGCTGATTTCAGTCTTTTTTTTTACCATATTCTGAGCTGTGGTGATAAAAGTGACCTGGCCCGTTTCTCTGCAGGGAAAGAGCTCATCCAAGAGGCTGTCTAATAGCAGCACCTCTGAGGTTCATGAGAGTACTGCCACAACACCCAAAGCTGTGGCAAAAAAATGCCCCTGTAAAAAAGCCAAGCTGGAGGAGAAATCCTCAGAGAGCAAAGAAAACAGTGTGGAGCCAAAGAAACCCAAAACTGCCCAGACTAAAGTGACACACAAGTCAAAGCTGACTAAAGGCAGCCAGGAACAGAAGGAATCAAATAATGAGACTGGTTCAGCAGAAAAAGATGTGCCGGTCAGGCCCAAGAATGACCGTCGGAGACGAGTGGCCTCCAAAGTGTGTTACAAGGAAGAGAGTGGAAGTGATGAGGGCAGTGCTTCAGACTTTGAGGTTTCAGAGGAGGAGAGTGATCTCTCTGATGAGGATTTTGAAACTGTCCCTAAAAGGCGGAGGAGCTCACAGGCCTCCCAGAATTCAAAGCTGACAACTATAAAAAGGTCAAAAACTGAGACTTCAGAAACAATGCTATCAAAAAATTCGTATGGAGCTGAGACTAAGCCAGCAAAAAGTGCCACTTCAGCCTTGCCTCAAGCACAAAAGAAGAGAAACAAAATCATTTCTAGTGATGAGGATGATGGACAGCAGGAGGTGAGGAGAGCAATGGGAACAGACCAGTGGCTGGAGGTTTTCCTTGAGTCTGAGGACAAGTGGGTTTGTGTAGACTGTGTTCATGGCAATGTGGGTCAGCCCCAGCTGTGCTTTGCACATGCCACAAAACCGCTTTTCTACGTTGTGGGATTTGACAACGATGGGAGTGTCAGGGATGTGACACAAAGATATGATCCAGTGTGGATGACCTCAACAAGGAAGAGCCGTGTGGACCCAGAGTGGTGGGAAGAGACACTGCAGCCATATGAAAGTCCCTATGTGGAGAGAGACAAGAAGGAAGAAAATGAGGTAAATGGCAATAGGTTGTTCAGGACACAGAATGCCAGGAGTCCCATCCCTGGAT